AAAAAAAAAAAAAAAAAAAATTCAATATTTTTTAATTTTATGAAATTTTATTTTAATAAAACTAGTTTCTTTTTCTATCGATCTTAATAAAGAGTAATATTACAATTGTATTCCTACATCAATGTAACTTAAAATAGATTTCTAAAAAGAACATTTTGTTAGTACAGTAATTTTCTAAATTACGTACAAAAACTCTTCTAAACTCCCCAGCAACCCCAGCATATGTAATGAAATGCAACATAATTAACATAAATTCCGCCACGCGATAAAATTTATGCATAATTGATTGGTTTCCACGTGGGGTTTCATTTATTTATTTACTTGCTTTCAGATACTTATAATATGAATGAAAATCTTATTTTGGGATATCGGGATAATTTCGTACCGAATTGTACCGAATTTATCGGTAAAATTTAACCGATGTTATGAAACACATTGATTATAAATCAAAAATTAGTATTGGGAAAAACTTTTTGCCGAATAAAATTGCGCGATCATTCTTGTTCGCAGTATACATAATTAATTTAAACAAAAAAATAAAGCTTCATTCATTAAACAAATCTTTTATTCATGCATTATGATATAGTGGTTTGTACGTTAAGAGATTCTCACTGTAAACAAATTAATTTTTTTTTTTCATCGCATCGTGTGTTAAATTATAATTTACCTTGACCAAATTTTGACTTATTCTACTTATATTACGAGTTTATTAATAAATTATATTATATTAATAATATCTTATTAAATGTAATTTTCATTACGCGTATTATTATTGACTAAAAAAATATGAGATCGTGGCACACTTTTTTACTATAAGTTGATCGATAATATTCTTTAATATGTAATTAATTTATTTTTTTAAATTTTTCTTATGATGAACGTATTCAAATTTTATTCGACGTTAATCATAATCATAAATGGATTTTTATCATGGTTTAATAATTCGTTTTTCATTAATATTTCTTATATTTCTTGAAACTTTTTAATATTATTTTACTTATTATTACTTATTAATATGTAGAATTTCAATTTAATATTGTTCATCACATTCGAATTCCTTTAAACCAAATTTGTATTAACATGTGATCCCGTCATATTGAGTTTTTTGACGTATAATTAATTAGCTTTTTTTGAACGAATAATTGGGATCCGCGAATCACATTTTATCTTATTTAAATTTCGTTGTATTTGAAAATTTTTAACTGCGCCTCTCTCTATAATTAACCGCGCCCATTTGGTTATTATAATTGAGAAGAAATATAATGGCTTAGAATAATAAATAAACCACTACTTAATCTCACATAATTGGATAAGTGGCAATGTAGATGACAAAGTTAAAGATGAGGCTAGGTAAAAGAAATTTTTTTAAATTTTTACCATAATCAATTTGTTAAAAAAATGTAATAAGGCTTGTAATTATGGCTTAATTATGGCTTATTTTAATATTAATATTAAATCTGTCTCTTATACACATCTAGATGTGTATAAGAGACAGGTCTTATACTAACGGCTAATAAGAATAAACCAGTTCAAAGTTTTCAATATGATGAATTGGTAAAGAAAAAAAAAAATTCAATTAAAAAATATATATATATTATTTAATAGAGTGTGTATTTCATTATTTTAGATATATTACGATTAAAGAGTATCAAAGAAAATGCCAACTAAAGATAGTGAGAAATCTATAACATTTTCAACAGAAGATCCAAAAAATTGGGAGGATAGAAAGAAATTATATGTTTCATCTATCGCTTCATTCACTATTTCTATTTCTCCAGTATCAATCTCGTAAGTTAATAGTGAAATTATACCAATTTTTTCTGTTCAGATAATGGTGATTAATCACATGTATGTACATATGTTAAAAGAATGTATTATCCTGCTCTTATTGCAATACGTGATTACTTTAATACAACACAATTCATTTTTTTTTTTTTTTTTTGTCAGTTGATTTAATTATTTGCAAATGATAGTCGGTCTAATTATACTGTTCACGGGATTAATCGTACGTGTTTTCACTTTATTTCTGATAAAAGTTACCTGAACCATTTTTCATATTTAAATCTTTTTAACAATTATCTTAATTATATAGCCTTTGGTGGTTGGATCTTATGCAGATGTATATGGAAGGAGAAGAGTATATATATTTGTTATGTTTATATTTACACTTTCAAGTATATTATGTGCAATGGCAGAAAATATATGGGTATTAATGGCAATGAGAACATTACAGTCATTTGGATCTTCGGGTGTACAATGTATTTGTGGAGGTATCGCAAATGACATTTTCATTCCAACAGGTAAAAAAAAAGGGAATATTAATATATAATTTATTTTTTTTTTAATCTAAATTTTTTTTTTTTAGAAAGAGAAGAAGCATATAGTAGATTTTTTTTAGGATATCATTTTGGAGAAATAATAGGATCTATAATAGGAGGATTACTTACGGAATATTTAGGATGGCATTCAATATTTTGGTTTCTATCAATATATGGAAGTATTTTATTATTTTTAATAATATGTTTCATTCCAGAAACACTTTATATACCAGATTCATCAACAACAACCATTATTATAAAACAATTTAATCCATTATTACCTTTTAAATTACTTTATTATCCAAATATAACATTAACAATCCTTTATAATACATCAATATGGATAATAATTTATGTATTAGATATTATGATTCCTTTTTCATTTACTAATATTTATAATTTATCTCCTTTATATATTGGTTTAATATTTTTGGCTCGTAAAATTGGAAGTATTATTGGAAATTCTTTTGGAGCTCATTATTCTGATTATTTGATAAACAAATATGAAAAGAAAAAAGGAAAAGAAGAAAGTTATCCTGAATTAAGATTGAAAAGTATTTGGATTGGTGCTATATTAGCAATTATATCATTTTTTATATTTGGTTGGATTTTAGAAAAAAGAGTTTATATAATTTGGCCATTAGTTATTATATTTATAGGTGAATTTGGTATATTATTTTTAGAAACTACAACAATTACTTATTTAACAAATCCTTATCATGAAGAATTAAATACTTCAATACTTGCAATAGGTGAAGCTATAACTGCTTTAATATCAACTATTGTAATAATATTAACTATTCCAATAGAAAATAAGTTTGGTATTGGTTGGTTATTTACTGCTTTAGCTTCTTTAGCATTATTAAGTAATATATTAATAATTTTAGTTTATTTTAAAGGAAGAAAATGGAGAGAAAATCAAAATATAAATAAAGATTTATAAAAAAAAAAAAAAATCTAAATACTTTAATAATAATAATAATAATAATATAAAAAATAATAATTATAATAATAATTAATTAATTAATTATATATATATATATTTATTTATAATCATTTTTTTTAAAAAAAATATTTAATAATAAAAAAAATTATTAAATAATTTTTATAATTTTATAATATATATTAGAGAAAATTTATTCCTCACCTGGATGATTTCTTGCCTTCTATTATGTAATAAAATTTTGATTGACTGATAAAGCTTTACAATTACATCATGCTAGTCAATTAGTTATTTGTTTACTCCCTTTTTAGTTTCATGTCAAAAATATACATATGGATCATATTTTTTCTTTCTTTTAAATTTCAGGCTCTTTCAGTTTTGTATTCAAAGGTATGTTTTTTTCGTTTCTTTAATTTTCTTTTTTTTTTTTTGCTTTTGCTTCATTTTTACAAACTTTGTTTTATTTTTTTTTATGGAATTTTTTCTTTTTTATCGTCTGTTTTATATTCATTTCCCTTTTATCTTTATCTTTATCCCTATTTGTTTCATTTTCCTTTACATTTTATATCCTTTCATTTTTATTTCCCTTTCATTTTTATTTATGTTTTTTCACTTCATTTTTCCTTTCATTTTTATCTTTGTCTCCTTTATTTTCATTTTTCTTTTTATTTTCTTCCTCCCTTTAGATCCTTAAAACTTGGCTAAAAGAAAAATAAAGGAATAACCAGTTAGTAAAAATAAATTATAAATTAGAAAATGGAAACCGTTGTAAGTTCAGAGCGAGATATAATAAATAAAGATGTAGCGATATTCTACTAATTAGCAGCATAACGCCTTGGAATTCTGGTAATTTTCTGCTGATTAGCAGCATAACGCCTTAGAAATCCTAAACAGAGAAACTCACATGATTGAAAATTTACACGTTATTTCCATAGATCATAATAGTGCATAGACATATATAGTCCTTCGCTTTGCTCTGGATAATAAAAAATGAAAATGAAAAAAATACATTCACCTGAAATCTCAAAATAAAAAAAAAAATAGATCTTTTCAGTTTTATGATCAAGGTATGTTCTTTTTTTTTTATTTACTACTTTTTGATTCTTTTTATTTTTAGGTTTTGTTTTTATTATTTATGTTTAATCTTAATCTTTTTCTTTCATTTTTTTCAGGTTTCAGACTTTTAGATTTTTTCTTTGTTTAAATTTCAGTGACTCCTAAATTTTTCTCTTTTTTAGATTTCTGATTCTCTTTAAGTGAGTAGTTTTATTTCTATTGTATTTTAATTTTTAGTTGTTATTTTCTCGTCTTCATTATTAACAATTTTTCATTTTTATTTTCTTTCATGATTTTTTCATCATTTCATTTTCATTGTTAACTGATTCGATATGTTGAATAAATTAACTATAATTTGCAGTTAGGAAGATTAAGTATGTTTAACTATGACTGAAATCCAATCAAACAAGACATGCTTAAAATAGGGAGTTCGTTTATTGTGTAAAAGGTTATACATTAGTATAGAACTTTATAATTACAAGAATTTAATATGAACTTATTGAAACTAATAGAAACTAATAGAACTAAACTTTTAACAAAAAAAAATACCAACGTTATTTATATAAAAATTACTACATATAAAGATATAATAAATATAAGAAATATAAGAAATATAACTATTGTTGATAAAACAGTATTACGCTAAATTTTATTTATAACTTTACAATAATTATAAAATAAAATAAAACCTAAACTAGTCACATAAAAGAAACAATATAATACAAGTAAAAAAAAAAATAATTTATAAAATAAAATACTAATCTAAAATCTATATCTAAGAACCTTTATATATTCCAACCTAAACTCTAAAAAGTAAGTTCCAGATAAACTATTCAGAAAAAAGGGCTTTAAAATTTAAGTTCAAAAGAGCAAAATAGTTCACATTCCCAAACTGTTCATAAACTAAACTCTGAAGAGTAAGTTCCAAGTCAACTATTCAGAAAAAAGGGTTCTAAAATTTAAGTCTAAAAAAGCAAAGTAACTCACATCTAAAGTTGCCTGCCTAAACCTCTCCAAAATTCTACGATTAGTTTCTCCAAGATTTTACTATAGTTTTATTATAGTTTCGGTAAGGTTTTGGCAGTTTCAGCATTTATAATAAGTTTCGTCAGGTTTCGCTTTTCTCTAGAGTTTCGCTAACTTTTTAATATGACTTTCATATAGTTTTGGCAAAGTTTCGCTATTTCAGCATTTCGCCAATTTGCCAAACCCCTCTAGTTTCTCCAGCAACCTTACTCACATCTCTTAACTGTTTGATTAAACAGAAAATCTGAAATCTTGTCCATTCAAGATCCACCTTGATCCATTAGGTGTTAAAGTCAATCTTTAAGTTTTGACGTTAAAGGATGATCCTGTTACAATTGTAAGAAAAAAGCGTCAGCATAAGTAGAAGTATCACAAGAAGGAGAACTGGAAGAGTAATGGTGAGATTTCTTGAATTTGGTAGTAATATTTTGAAATAATTTCTACTTGATAAATGCATCACAGTATAAAGACTAAATATTCTTGTATATGTGATTTTGCAGTCTAAATAATTCAGAATAGATAAAGTGAATAAACTTTTTGGCTGTGTAAAGAGAAGAAAAGATATTAAACAAATCTTTAGGAATTAGACCTCAAACTAAATCAAAAGCCATAGGTGCAAATGAAAGTGGAAGGTTTATTGTAAGAAGAATATCATTCTAAATAGAGAGAGAGTTAAATTCATTTAATAAATAAAGTTTGGAGGAGTTTTTATTACAGACCTTCTTTAATTTCTTCTGAAAATTAATCTTAAAAATTTCTAAGTATTCCATAAACTTAGTTTTAACAGGAAAAACTGTGAAGTCCATAGTATGAGAAGCTTTATATATCCACAGATAAATAGAAGTTTTAGGTATTTAACAGTACAAGAAACAAGTGAAATCTATATTATATAAGTCTGGAGCATGTTGTTTATGTAAACACAAAGACAGAAGTACATCAAAAAGTAATTTTAATCTGAAAATAGCTAAATTATGGTTTTTAAAATAATTAGCAGCACCATAATATATGAAAAAATGGAAAATTTTCAAGTGGCAGGCAGGACCCCGGATATCTAATATAAAGGTCATAATGGACTTTTGGCCAAAAACACCCCTTTTTGCTGAAACTCAAAAAATCGTTTTTTGTAAATATCTCAGCATCCAATAATTCAATTTTAATGAACTTTTTTTTATTTTGTAGCCCTCATTTAGCTCTACAATTTAAAAAAAAGTTCATCAAAATTGGACCACTGGATGCCGAGATATTTACAAAAAACGATTTTTTGAGCCCTTGAAAAATGGGTCAATCTGCCGAAAGTGTGACTTTACAATCGTCTCGCTCCTTTGCTTGCCTCTCACCATGTTCTCCAAGGCGGTAATTTTGCAGGTTTACCTGGAGGGTCCTGCCGTGATCCTATTATTACTCTGGAATCCATCATTCATGATTCGGTAGTCACTAAACAACCCTTATGGATTCTTTCTCAAGACATTTCAAAAGCATTTGATTCTGTGGATTTATCTATGTTGCGTTTTGCTCTCCAACGTTTACGTTTACCTCAAAATGCTATTCAATTCTTACTCTCTTTATTTATGTCAAGTTATAATCGTGTCATTACTGCACATGGCCCTACTCCACCATATAGAGTTAGAATTGGAATAGACCAAGGTGAAGTTATCTCTCCGCTTTTATGGGTTATTTATTTAGACCCTTTACTTACAACTCTCAGAAATGAGAAGAAAGACCCTTATTGTTTGGTCTCTCCATTGGCTCCCTGTACTGTTTCATCAAACTCTTGTTCTCCAGATGTTTTAGAAATTAATAATTTGGTGTTCATGGATGATTCTACTTTAATCTCTTCTTCTAAAGAAGGAATGAAACATATGTTGTCTATTACTGAAAAATTTTATTGTTTAAACAATACCTCAGCCAATCATAACAAATATGTTTTAGCCACAAATGCAGTCGTTGCTCCTCGAGATTTGTCTCCCATAGCCTTTAATTTGTCGATTTCATCGCTCAACTCCACGCCCAACATTATTGTTACTCCTATTTCTATGTCCTCATCTTTCCGGTTTTTAGGAGTTTGGTTTAATATTAACGGCTCTAGGAACTTTATCCGACAACAACTTAAACGAGAATGTCATTCTTTCTCTGCAATTCTTCGCCCTGCGAAACTGACTGTTCAACAAGTGGTGTATCTTTATAATACTGTTTTGATTCCGAAATTGGACTATCGAATGCAAGTTACACACTTATCTGAGGCTGAATGCTCCACTATTACCTCTTCAGTTCATGCCTTAGTTAAACATAAAGCCAAATTATCACACTCTGTTCCTAATGTGGTGTTATATTTAACACATGCTTTGGGTTTGATCAATTTATTTTCATTTCAACAACAAAGTCATTTTACTAATTTATTTTTGTTAGCAAATTCTTCTTGAAATCACTATTTAATTATAGGTTGCGATTTATTCAATTTTATTGTTTAATTCCTATTTCTCCCTTGATGGTTTTGGATTGGACTTGTTGGTCTTCTCTTATAATTTTTAAACAAGATTATATCGCTAATACTTTAGCTTCTTTGCTCTCAACTCCTTTTCGTTTGTCACGCGCTAATCTATCATCTGTGCTTGATTTAACCTACCCCAATGGCCATACTCCTATTTATCAATGTCTTTCTTTGGATGTATTTAAAGCCAATTTAACAAGACTTCGAAAACGTGGCCTTTTCTATCTTTCGCAACTTTTGACACCTCAAGGAACACATTTGCTCTCTTGGTCTGTCATATATGCCAACTCTGTTCAAAAACGTGGTAATGCCCGTCTTCCCATGTGGTACAAAAATCTCTCTATTAATGTCACGATTCCAGATAAATCTGGTTTGTTAAGGGACCGTTTCTTGATTGAACAACAACCTGTGAGCCTGATTGCAAAAGAAC